AATATTTTCAATTATTTATTAACTTATTAATTTGAATGTTCAAGTTAATGATTATCGCTTTCATTTTAAAAGTGTCATAAAGTGTTTTCAAAAATATCAAACTTTAGTGAAAGTATAATATAATATTAATAAATTTAGTAGTAATATATATCTACAAAAATGTAATATAAAAATAAAAATGAAAAGTATAATATACACTACCATCCATAATTATTCAAATGGTCATACTTTTCTATATAAGATCATTTTACTTACTATTGGGAGAGAAACTGTAAGCAAAGTCTACCTGAATTATATGTTATCTTCCTTTTTATTAGGCTTACAAAAACATTAATATAAAGTCCGATTAGGTTAGTTTATAATTTACTTGCTATTTAATCACCCTTAAATTATTGAAGTTAATTTTCTCCATTTTTAATGACTTGAGAAGAGTGCTTAACAGGAGGAGCAATAAATTTATTTAAATTATTTATTTAAACATATTTTATCAAATATTAACACCAACCTAAGAAATATTTTGCAATTAAGTCAGTGGAATAGTACACAAAATGTAATAAATTGGTTTAAAAACATCAATGACAAACATTTTTATAAATACCATATTTTGACATCGTTGACTCTTATGCTTCTATTAATGAAAAGCTACTTATCGACTCCATAAACTTTGCAGAACAACACATTTCCATTGATGCTGACCATAAATCTTTAATTCTCCACACGCATAAGTCTTTATTATTTACCAATGACCAAGTTTGGATTAAAAAATCAAGCGGTTTATTTGATGTTACCATGGGTGCATTTAATGGAGCGGAGGTGTGCAAGTTTGTTGGTATTTTTCTTCTCTTCATGATTTTGCAATTTTATAAATAATCTGATTTTGGATTATATAGAGATGGCTTAGCCATGTTTAAAAACCCAAGCGGTCCAAAAATGGAAAATATTAGGAAGCATTTTACTCAAATATTTAAACAAAACAACCTCAGTATTTCCATTTAATCTAATATGAAAGTTGTTAATTACCTTGATGTTACATTTAATCTTAATAATAACACTTTTCAACCTTACCATAAACCAAAAATTGGACACCTTTTCTTAAATTTAATTAAATTTAAAAAAAAGGTGTCCAATTTTTTGCATTTTCCATTACATCTTAAGCTCCACAAAATATTCAACAGAAACACAATAAAAATTAGTTACAGCTGCATGTCAAATATTCGATCAATTATTAATTCACACAACCAACAAATTTTGTGCAACAAACTAACTGCTAATGATATAAATTGCAACTGCATTAAAAAACCACATACCCATTAAATAACCAATGTCTATCAACAAATGTTGTATATAAAGCTACTTTAGAATCACCTAATCCTAGTCTTACAGAAAAATCCTACATCAGACTTAGTGAAAACACATTCAAGCTCAGATTTGCAAACCACCTTAAATCATTTAATGCAACCAGGTATAGGAATGATATGGAACTTTCCAAGGAAATCTGGAAACATAAAGAATTAGGTAACATGCCTATAGTTAAAAGATGCCAATCTTATAACCCATCTACAAAAACGTTTTTGCATCAATGAAAAAATATTTTATTATGACTTTTGATAGTCGATTACTACTTAACAAAAAAAACTAGTTTATGCTTGTAGGCATAGGAAAAAATTTTTACTATCTAACTTCGATTCTGGCGATTAGCAAATACCGGATCACATATAATTGACATCAGATGCCGTTGCAACGCTAAACTTGTATTTTTATAACGGTTTTCATTTTATATTTTAAATAATATGGCTGATGATTGCCGAATGGAATGAAACTTTAAGTTCCATTATAAAGTTGTATTTATATATATATATTATAATATATATTTAATACAAAGGTCTGACCATAAAACATAGAAATGAGGTCGGCAATTTTTTGCCGACTTTAAACACTTTCAGGTCGGCATTGCCGAATGAAAAGATTGGAGGAGTTGTGATTGAACATTGACCATATTTCTGTAGTTGTTTTTAGACCTGCTCTAATCTCTATTTCAATTATATATTGTTGAATCTGCATTTGTTCTTCCAAAGAATTCTCTTCTATTCATTCTTAGTCATTGCTTTGCGACTGGTGAAGCATTTTCCTCATTTTCTGTATCAGAGTCTGCTTCATGAACTGCAAAAGAGTTGCATGATTGCTTTTTTGTTTTGTTTAGTTCATCATTCTTATTTATACTAGCCAGTTGGATCAATTTGTAGGTAACTTTCCAAAGACCCTCAGCTGCAGCTATCTATAAAAACATTTGTATTTATAAAATATAAATTTTATAAAGTTAAAAAAATTAAAAAAACATAGAATAAAGTTTTATTAAAAAAACAAACCTTGTCGTCAGTTGCTGTCGGCATACAGCCATGCCTAATATCCAGGTAAACTGCTGAAAAAATTTTTGCAAATTTTTGAAAACTTTTGCCTAGCGTGTTTTGCTGTTAATCATTCCTTTTTGGAAATCTTTGGCTAAGTCATTGTCTTTCCCGTCTTTTATTGAATTCCAATTGAAAAGAAATTTTCTGCAGTGATATTTTCATGCTGAAGATGAATAGTAAGATTGCGTGCCATCTTTCAACTCTTCCCAAATCCTCCAAAAATTGTTGCACATTAAATTCTTTTGGAGCTTTATTTTTAATGTTCAGATTTTGAATTACTGGTCAAATCTAGAAAAACAGAAGAATTCATTAAAGATATATATTAAGTTATTAACTAATTAAATAAAAAAGATTATTAAAGAAATATTTACATAAATGAAAATTTAAAAATAAATAAGTAATGAAAATGTAATTAACGTTGAAATAATTGGATTTATATTATACCGAATAGAATATAAATAGTTTTAGTTTTATAAACTATAATTAAAACTTTATGACCAATGGGTATCCTGATCTAAAATTGACACTAGATATGGAGCTTAAGCTATGAAGAAGTCAATCCATTTAAAATTTCTTGCAGTTTTGCAAACTTCTATTGCATGACTAATGACATTTTTTTTTGTTCACATCTTTGAAGATGTATAACATTGTATGCTACCGGCAACTACAATTCCCAAGGCTGCTGCCGCATTGTCTGCTGTAGGATGTTCATCTGTTTCTATGAAGAAGTCAATTTTTCTCAATAGCGCTGATACCAGTCACGCAAAAACTTTATATATATCTAAATGAATTAAATATGATTTCAATATTTATATTATTCAATATATATTTTATATGTTATATCCAAAAGGTTTTATTTACATTTTAACAAACATCAAAAAATTTTATTTTTTAAATGATTTTATTTGAAAATGTTGGACACAAAACATTTTAACTTTAATTATTTAATTTACAATTTTCATTTAAATAAAATATAGGCAAATTTCAAAATATATGTTACTTGCTGCTGCTTTTTTGACACTGAGGCCTAAAATATTTTATTGATTCCAAACTTATCTAAATACTTTTCAATATTTTTTTTAGTCTATTGTGTTGTTTGTTTTTCCTTTGTACCAATGTTGCCAAAATTGATCACAATAATTTTATCATTATTAAATAACTTTCACTTTTAAATAAAAATCACTTTTAAATAAATTTTCGATATTTAATTTTTGGTTTGTTTGCAACATTTTGGATATTTAATTTTTGGTTTGTTTGCAACATTTTCGATATTTAATTTTTGGTTTGTTTGCAACATTTTCGATATTTAATTTTTGGTTTGTTTGCAATGCTTTTTAGCAAGTTCGCTTATTTGAATTCTCATGTTTTCTCTATTCATTTTAAATCCCAAATGAGAAGCAACTTTTCTGCAGTTTTTGAATAGGTTTCCAATCTAATGCCTATAGAAATTGTTTTTAGAATAGTAAATGTTTATTAAAAAAAAAGCAAAAATTTTTAAAGTGTTATGCCGCTATGACTTTTTGAAATTGAATAATAAATAACAACAAAAAAATAATTTGAACCTGGAATGAAAGATCTTCAACCAAAACCAGCTGGTTTAAGGCTTCTAAAAACTTGTCTTTTGCTATGCGCAAATTAACTTGTTGCGGTACAAAACACTTTAATATGGATTGCTGTAAAGTGCAAAAGATTGCTTATGCAAGCTTTTGTGATAGATGCAATTTCTTTACTGTACAACTCATTACTTTTACTTTTTTGGGGTACAAGTCATTTAAAGTATGCTACTTAAAATCCATTTAAAATTTTATTTGTACAATGAAAATGTCTGTAGATTGTTGCATAGTTAGTGGTCATTACTGGTCAAGATTGTTGCAAGCAAATAAATAGCAAATATGAATATAAAGAAAGAATGTTGTTGTTGCAATTTATTGTGAACATGTAAGTTATTTACTTTCTGTTATATATGCTTTCCAAAATTAGTTATTTGTATAACAACCCACGAAAAAGTTAGGAGAGTCATTATTTTAACTAGTTATCAGTTGATCACGTTGTTAAAACAAAGTTTTGTAATATTTTTCGTGTTATTATTTCTAATACGTTGAACTAAATCAAAAAAATTTAGAAAGATGCATTAAATTTAAAAGTCCCTCCATGAACGGAATTGTTGTGCAAAAGAATTTTTGTTTGATAAGGTATTTTTATAACCTTTTTTGGCTTCTTGAACCTAGTTAGTACAGCCTATACTTTTAGTCAGTTGGTGTACACTTATTTTTGATGCATGCGACTTTTTTTTATTTTGGTCTGCGCAGCGCATGCGCATTTATATATTTTCACTAAGTTTAATTTTTAAAATAAAAAATTAAAGCATTAAAAATAATTTGAAAAAAGTTTATTTGCTGTATCTTTGTACATATAATGTCTGAACTCTTAATTTTTAGTTATTTTAGTAGCTATATGTTTTATAGTTTATTTTATGTTATTGTTGAGTATAATTTTAATGTTCATGACCTTTTGTTATATTCATTATTTTATATTCATTAAAATGTTTCCCATTAGAGTTGTTAAAGTTAAATATTTTAAAATTTTATTTAGTTATAAATTGACTCTTTTATATGAAGTTTGTGCTGGAATTTTGGCTGAAAATTGTAATGAAAATGATAGCATAGAAGAAATTGTTAGTTCTTTTTGGAATGATCAAGACAAGCGATGTGGGAAAAATAATTTTCTGACAATAACACCTGATCAAAATGAAGATGAAGTTGTTGGAGATTCAAGTAATTCTGATTCAGAAATTCAAGAACTGCATCATCAATTCTTACAAATAGAAGATAGGATTGAAAACATTGCACGCATAAATTATTCAAAATCAAATATTACTAAACATTCTTCAGAAACAGTGTTAAGTAGTTCTCAAAGTTTACATGATAAATCACAACATATAGTTAAAACAATCCCTTGTGAAAGTTTAGATATATCTAGTAAGCTTGAAAACATTTCCTTTAAATGTCAAAATACATCTAGTAAAAATAAAAATGATTTGTATGTTGATTTTCAGGTGATTAATAAAAATATATCTAAAATTAAACAAGTTGAATCTATAGATATATCTGATGACGAATATGCACCAAGTAATAACAATTTATTTACCCCTAAAATTGCATCATATGAAACACCTTTACTTATAGACAGCAAATCATGTGTTGGAGATCTTTTAACAAGAACCAATAATTTAGATAACTCATCTATTAGTTTTAAGCCATGCTATGCAGTAAACCCAAGATGCCCCACTCCATACAATGCTGCTAAAGTAAACGTTTTAACCTCTCAAATTTTTACACCTGGAAACCAAACCTCAAAAATAAATACTCTAGGAATCAAAACTTCTCAAGTAGTTACACCTGACTCATACTCAAATTTTTGTTTATTTAACATGTTTCAGAATGAAAATGTTGAAAGTGATAGTTCTACTATGGATTTACTTAATCCAATTAATAGTAAATGTACAAAATGCAGTTCTCCTATACAAAAGATTAATGAAACTCCTAAAATTAACTTTGACAAGACTATGTCTTGTGACAATTGCTCAATTACAAATTTGCATTTAAGAGATAAAAATAATGTTTTAACTGCATTAACACCAATAAATTTAAAATTAAATAGCAAAAATGAAAGTGTAATTTTTCCAGATGGTGAAACAAGCAACAATAAAACAATGATTAAACCAGCTCTAAGTCCAGCTCGAAAACGAAGAAAACTAATTGATCATTCTAATTTTGGAAAATCTAGCTCAGTGGATCCTGAAGGCACACCTGATGAAAAAAGGTTTGTTGCTATTACACTTATATCATGATCATTTTTGTAAAATTTAACAGGGATAAATACCCTGATAAAAAAGGGGAATCTTATACTTTAAAAAAGTGTTGTAAAAAAATCTTTCAATCCTAAATGTTAAAACATTACACAAGTATTTTTATTTTTGTTTCGACTTTAATTTACTAGTTTAATTTAGAGTTGTTTATATTCTAGTTTAGTGAATAATTATGTACTGAATAACTATTTGCTTGTTTTGTTTTTATTTTTTTATATTTGATAAATGAAAATTCTTTTTAATATATATTCAATCTATAAACAGCTAATTTTTTTATTTTAGACATCATGAAATTTTTATTTTTAATTTTAATTTTATTTTTATTATTCAGCAAAGATAATTTTGAAAGTAGTGTATCCAGTATTCTGCCAACTCATCTTAATAATCACCCAAATAATCAGGAAACATCCTTTAATGCAAGCACAAGCCCTTATTATGATGGTGATGATGGTGGCTATAACTCTATTGTGTTTAATGAAAAATGTTTTCATGAAGGTATAGAAAAAGACAGCACTAACTCGCAGCATTTAATAAATAACTCTCTTGAAACTAAAAATAAATCTAATGTTGTTGAAAAAAATAATAACTCAAAATCTTTAAGCTCAACATTATCTATAAAATCAGTTGATCAGTTTACTCAGCATGACTCTCCATTAACATTTGAGGTCACTACTAAACCTCCGTCACAAAATATTGCACCGAAATCACATTGTATAAAAACATTAGATAATAAGATTGAGCATTCCTCTAAAAAAAAAGAATCTTTCAAAGAAAGAAAATCATCAATTGAAAAGAAATCTTCAAAAGAAAATTCAAATGAAATGAAATCAACTAAAGAAAAAAAGTTTTCAAATGAAATGAAATCAACAAAGGAAACTGTTACAAAATCTAAAAGGCCTCTTAAAAATGCTCCATCACCAGAATTTTATAATGTTCGTACTGATAATAATAGCACTATAAATACTACTGTTGCAGAAAGTTATAATAAATTTGGTCCAGGATCCTATATTCACCCAGAAACCAAAGCAATAATAACTCCAATGCCAGATTACTCTTCGTTTCCTACTCCTGAGTTAGTAGTAAGTTTTTCTTTATTTATGCTATATTAACACCTGGTTTTAATGTAAAAAACAAAAAAAACTTTTATCAGTAATTATCTTTTTCAGGATATTTCCTGATTTCCGGATATTTCTTTAGAGCTTTATTTTTTTCAGATATCAAAATAGTTTTCTAGAAATATAAGTTAAAAAAAAATTTTTTTTATAACTTTGTCATGAAGTAATTAAAACAGTATAAAGATTATTGTTCATCAATTACTTTACGCTATATTTAGTAAGGTTAAGCATTATTTGTGCAACTAATTTTTTTTTTTTGTACGCATATATTTATTATAAATTATTTTGATTATTACACCTAAAAATCTACCTAAGATTAATATAATTTGATAATTTTTATATATAAATTAAATTTATTTATGAACACTATTTAAATAAATATTGAAATACTTTTCTTTTGTATAAACAAATAATGCCTGCCAAAACAACTCCCAAAAAATTTGAGCTCAACAGGATTACTCAATCCTTACCCCGTAAGCACTTTTTTAGAAAAAAAATTATTAAAAAATATCAAAAATTGCGGATTTCACAGGACCAGGGGGGAAGTTTAACTATAAAAATTTCAAATTTTTTTTCTGGTTGTTTATTTTTACCTATATATTTGAGTAAAAACTTTTCTTCTTTTTATCAAGAGAAGATAAGCTTTCAATTAATTTACTTTTAGAAATTTGTTTGAACGACTTCGAAGTGTTATGAAAGCACACTGAACTTTTTCAACATTTAGCCATGTATTCTGTTTATCTTCCACAATGTTGTATTGGTGAATAAATTGCTGCATCATTCCATCTTTCTAAATGAAATTTACTACAATTAAAGATTTGGCATAGTTCTGAAAGTTTTTAAAAACAGATTGAGTAAACTGTGTGAATTTTTATATCTTATGTTTGATGAAATTGGATTAGAGTAACAAAGAATAAAAGATCGGCTTTCGCTTGCCCTTGAGTATTGACTCAGGGGCAAGCGAAAGTCAATCTTTTATCCTTTGTTACTCTAATCTAATTCTATCAAACATAAGATATAAAATTTCATCAACCAACAGAACAAGGGAAGAAGGATTTTCACTAACTTCGTTTCCAATTTTTGTTTTATCTTTTATATCTATTTTTGATTTGTTTTTAGTATTGTACCAAGTTGAAATCGGCATTTTAAAAATTAAAATTACAAGGTTTGCTTTCTTCTCAAATGACAAATCGTCATCCAACAAAGCAAGAGGAATCATTGTTGAATCTAAATACCAACTATGTTTGCATAGACAGTTTAAAACTGCATCGACAGCATCTGGTTTGGCACAAATTTTTCGGTACTGTTGCATTTGGTGTATTGCTTTTATATCAAGAAAGGGAGCTCTAATAGTGTCATTTACCTGTAATTACCATTTGCTGTAATTACCATTTGTTATAAAAGCTCACTGTAAAATCACTTATTACCCTGATTTCTTTCTTGAGTTTATTGTTCTGATTTATGAACTCAATTTAGCTGGATAGAAGCTGTAGCTTTAGGTAGTAAAGTGCTTTAGATAGGAACCTAGCACGATGAACTTCTCCAAGTTTTCTTAGTTTTACTGAAGACGGTAAGTCACAACATGTTCTGCAAGCTCCTTTCTATCTTCTCTGATGAAATCTTTATTTTCTCTTCCCTTTGTGATGTATTCTTGACAAAAGTTTAAAGACTTTTGTGCATCTTTCTCAAAAAAGGTTCCATTTACTGCTTTCCAATCAAACTTTATTAGTTCTGTATTGTAATTAAAATGAGGACATTCAAAAACAGTTTTTAATTTTTTAAACATAGGATTATCTGGTCCTGTGGAATGTTTATCTAAAACTGAATTACAAAAATGAACCATTCTTAATTCACATACATGATGTCTGCATGCAATAAGTAAAAGATATTTACCTATATTATTGGATGTTTTTATTAAAGAACCTTTCTTTAACACAGTATTACTTGCAGTAGCATCAAAACATATTCCACATACTTTGGCTTTAAGATTGTACTCCTTAAGAAGGTCCATTACACCATTGCACTGATCTTTACCAGAGGATGACGCTAAAGGAGGTACTCCAAGCAGATGTGTCTCACCTTCAATATTTACAAGTACAGCCAGTCTATTGGTTTTAATTGTTTTTTCTTTATTTAGTTCATTTAATGTTTTGCCATCAAAATGTACTATGCATGGGTATGGTGATTCATTTATTGCTTGTTGAACATCTTCTTTTGATATTATGCATATATTACGATTAGCATATTTCATTTTCCTAGCTGCTGTAGACTACATTTATGGCTGCATTTAAAATCTGTCAGATCAGCTCCTGATTCAGTTAGAATTGCACCTGTAACTTGCACCTGTAACTTGCACCTGTAACTTTATGCAAAACACTTGGAGAAATGTCACTGATTGTAGCCATAAGAGCTACATTACCAGCAAAAACATCAATGGGAATTTCAACAGTGACTTTTTGTTGAAAAGGTTTTCTTTCAAACCACTCTCCAGGATTAAAATCAGAATCATGTGAGGAGTCCTAACTAGTATCTGTATCAATCTTAACATTATTTGTCCCCTCTAGTTCTTTATATTGTTGTTTCACGCAATGCTTTCTCTTTCTGCTACTCATTATTGCCTAAAAATATCAAAAGTATTTAATAATTAATAATTTAATTTAGTTATATGAGAAATTAAAATAGTGATTGAACATTGTTATTTTAGTTTAGTTGTTTTTATTTAAAATTTTTAAAATGGCAAATTGTAAGTAAGTTGCTTAGAAAACCTTGCAAATCTTTTTTTTTTTTTTTTTTTCGCTTTTAAAGATACATACTTATTTTTTTGTACTTTTTATCTTCTAATCCAAGCATAAAGTTTTTTTCTCCTTCTTGGTCCTCCAGAAACTCCAAATCCTCAAGCTTGTCTGAATCAGATCTTTTTTTGTCATTTTTAATTGTATTTCTAAAATCAGGAATGCCAGCCCAAAATATTTTATTCAGGTAAACTTTAAACTTTTGTTGTTGTGACAAATTTGCAGCAGATCCTTTTTTTTCATGCTTTTTAAGTTTTGAATATACATTCTCTAGATTTGAATGATTTTTCACTAGACTTTTATCGTTTAGTATAGAAAACCTAGCTTTAATCCATGGCTCTATTACCTTTGCCAAAATACATTTACACTTACTTTCTATTGCACATCTTTGAATTTTTTTTTGAGGAGGACAAGCAAGAATAGTGGCTTTTTTTGATGTTCTAGGCAAAAATAATTGTTTGTAAGCTAAGTACTGCAGTATCTCCATCCCTGTTGGATGCTGACACTCTTAATTACAAAAAAGAAGAAATAAAAAGTTTAGCTAAAGTTTTTAGCTCAAGGGATTCATTATAAAACTAATTATTACCTTTTATTGCTGGTTTTGCTTCTTCGATAATGAATAGTTTTTTTGACCTTAGTATTCTTTCACTTTTTGTTTTCTGACCACGTTCTTCTTCTTCATACATATTTAAATTAATTTAATTTTTACTAATCTAAAAAAATCAAGTTTAAAATAATTATTGTAAAATAATTTACTACTGCAACAAATAGAACCATTGAATTGTTTTTTGAGCAACTATAATTGAATCTTGTCAAATTTCCACCTCATAGAAATTACTAAATTTTATTGTAGATTTACATTATTAATCAAAAAAGTTAAACGTAAATAATCTGGACAATTAGTAAAAATCTTTTGTTTGAAACATAAATGCGGTAAGTATATTTTCATATATTGTAATTTTTTCAATTCAAAATACAAAAATAAAAATATTTTCTAAAAAAAACTATGATACCATGTATTTTTACTCAAATATATAGGTAAAAATAAACAACCCAAAAAAAAAATTTTTTTTTGAAAAAGTGCTTAGGGGGTAAGGCTTAAGGTTCCTGTAAAGCTCAAATTTTTTGGAAGTTGTTTTTTTAACATTTGCCCCAAATCTACAGTGTATGGTATTTTAGGATCAAAAATTTCCTCAAATTGACTACCCCTAACGTACATCTAACTTCATCTTCGTTGTGTTCTGTAAATGAAAAGTATTTGCAATTTTTATTTTTGTGACAAAAATCTAAATTTTATTTTTATCTTTTCCACACTATGCCCCATTTGCTGCATCGTAAACCAACATAATTTAAGGTGCATCACAAACAAAGATAATTTAAGCTGCACGCAAACAACTATTCTTCTTACAAACAATATAAATTTAATTTAATATTTGTTATGGTGTTTTTATAGGCAAAAACTAGATCTTACGCTCTCAGAGAGTTACCAAAGAATAAAATGGTGGCAAAGTTAAAAGAAGTATACAAGTATCAGCATAAATGTACCCTCTTTTTTCAATTTTTATTAGGCAACAAAAGAAATATAATAAATTAATAATTTCCATTGTTTTTAAATTTCTATAGATAGTTTATCTTTATACTAATAATACAAAACTTGTTTTTCCAGAGTTTTTATTTAATCTTTTATTTAGTTAAAAAATGGGAAGAGGAGCCTCAAAATATTAAAGGTAAGCGCGTCACAAGGAGGAAGGCTCATAACGAAATTGATGCAGCATCTCTTATAAAAAAATACAACAACAAAAAAATGTATGTTCATGTAAAAAAAACTTTTTAAGTTTTTGTATTATATTATAGTATTTATTGTTAAAGCTTGTATTTCATGCAGGTTATTTAGCTTTAACCTACAATAAACAATCTGTGATGACAAAAAGAAACTAATTGTAAAGTCTGAAGTATCTAAAGATGCTTTGTTTGCAAATAAATTGATGGGGATGATTTTATGATAGACACTATCATAAATCTACTTACTGTTTTCATCCCCTAAAGATTAAGGCAGCACAGAGCTTGTGATCAATTTTTTTAAATTATCATTATAACTTTCTTTCACAAACCTTGACGAACACAGTGTCTGAAGAAATTTGAGCACTGTATTATCAGAAATAGTGAGAATTTTGTAAGGATGTAATTAGTTTGTAGGTAATTAGTTTGACCCTTTTTGTTTTTTTAGGGATTTAGCAACAAAAAAGATAGAAATGAAAAAGGTAAAAATATACTTAAAATTATGCAGTATACTAGTTTGCTGTAGTAAAATTAAATGTTTTCAAAACTTAACTATCGAACGGTTATCGAACTATCGAACGGTTATCGAACTATCGAACGGTTATCGAACTATCGAACGGTTTTTGTTTAACACTTTAATATTTTAATTCTTTTTTTTTATTGATGTTTATTTTCTTATTTTAATTTTTAACATAAAGATTTCATGTTTACATTTAGTTTAAATTGCTGTTTTTATTTAAAAAAAGGCTATTTGTTTTTTTTTTTCTTAAAATGTTAGTGCTATAGAAATTTGGGCTAATCTTAAAATACGAATTCGGATCCATTTATTTTTAAGTCGGCTTAGTTTAAATATGCTAAATTAACATGTTTATAAATATTTTTAGAATATTTTTTTCAATTTTCAGAGATTGATGTTGTTTTTACGTGCAGATGATGCACTTCTTCAAAAAATCTTGACATATGAGGTAAGAAACAAATTTAATCTTAAAGTTCAATTTTATGTTTTATGAGATAAGTTTATATCACGTAAGTTCAACATCTTTCAATTTTATGAGCTATGATACAAGTTCACGTAAGTTTAATGATTTCTGGCTCAACTTTAGTTTCTTTGAAAAACATATATCTTAAGTTTTTGTTTAAATTAAAAATGAACCAATATACTGATAGCAAACTAAAAAATCTTTTTATAGCCATTAGAAATAACAGATTTGTTTCATACTTTGAAGGAACGTTCAATAGACTTCAACAAAAAATTTCTTCTTGAGTTTCTTGATGAACAGGTAATTTTTAACAAAAAAAATAAAACGATTTAATTAAAACTAAGTTTTAAATATAATTATAAATTTTTAAAATATTTTATTTAAAATAATAATTATTTTGTATTGTGCTAATTTGTTGTAATTGTTATTGTTGAGATGTGTAGATTTTTTTTGAAAAATGTGCTTAAATGTTGTCGAGTATGCTATTTAACCCTACTTTGTTTATATATAGTAATAATATATGAATTAAAATTTTTAATTAGATCTTTAATTAAAAATAAATAGATAAACAAGTTATGTATTCTCTGTGTATGTATATTTGCAATTGAAAAGTAACTTAGGTAAAGACTAGAGGAATTGCTCTACTTCTTGTCTGTGTTGCTATTTCAACCTTGAATATTTTTTAAAGGCAAATTGCGCTAGTTTACTTATATTTAAAGACAAAATTAGTAAAATTTAGTTGGGATATGACTTTTCTTTTAATTTTTGAATTTTAATTTATTTTAGTGTATTTGCTACTATTCTAAAGATGAAGTAAATAAATGGCGCAAAAAGAAAAAAGTAAAATAAACATTTTCGAGAGACTTAAACATTTTCGAGAGACTTTTTAACAAATGCAAAAACAATGCGTAAAGAAACTTCTGAGCAATGTAAATATATATAATATGCAGAGTGTTAAATAATTTATTTGAGTTTTCAAAATGTTAAAAAAGATTTGACGTTTTTTGTGTGACTCGAATATAATTTGGAATGTCTGATTGTGCTCAAATGAACCACCTTAATCAAAAAGTCAAAAAAATGTACCACCCCAGTCAAAAAGTTAATAAAAGACGGAACATGATTTTGAATATGATAAACCTATTGAATAGATCTTATAAAAATTTGTATAGTTTTAAAAATTATACAAATCCTGTCCGAAATCTTGTAGAAATCCTATCCTATAAGACACTGGATATAAAAACATCTTATAGGTTTTAACCTGCAGAAATCCTGTTCAAAAATCTTAGAGGAATACACTTTGGTAACCCTAAACATTGATTTAATGATCCCGACGGGCATTTGTTTTTAAAAGTTACGTTCTAAATGTGTTTTAAACGTCTTTTAAACGTCTTTTAAACATTAATGTTTAAAAGACATTTAAAATACATTTAGATCGTAACTTTTAAAAACAAATGCCCGTCGGGATACTCAAAATATACATCTTCCAGTTTTTCCAACATGTTTTTTAAAAACAGCTTTTTTTAGCAGAGTGGACACTATGTGAATATTAATTAAAAAATAATAATTAAAAATCTCTAGTTAAAATTAAAACCACGGCGATTTAATTCAGAAACTCAGCAAGCTAACCACTTAGGCCACTAAAGCGTATTGTCCGATAAAAGTTTTTAGCTAAAAGTTTTTAGTTAAAAGTTTTTAAACAAAAGACTTTATAAAGCAGCAAATGTTTTTTCAAAATTCTCTCCCTTTCGTTTGTTATAGTATATGATATCTTGATATCATGTATATAATATCTATAGAACTTTAAAACTGTTGTATATTCAAAATAGTGAAAACGGTGGGAATCAAGCCACGGTGCTTTAGATACTACAAATTTGGGTGTATTGTACAACAAAAGCCTTTTGTTTTTAATAATAAAAACAAAAGGCTTTATTAAACGACAAATAAATGCAATAAATCAAAATAAAAGAGATATTGCCACATTAAGGACATATTGCCACAAAGCACTTTTTTAGTAAAAGTTAGATTGTAAAACTTGACATATGTTTTAAAATTACATAATTTGAAGTTTACATAAGTTAGATACTTGTATTCACTTTCGTTTGTTTTCTTATATATAAAAAAAGTGCTGCCACTCTTTCTCGCCATTATCACTGTTGCAATGGCTGCCATTAGTACCGTATCAATACTCAAGAATGAGCATTGACATGTCGTTCAATATATAATATGATGATGAGGTAAATACATTTTGATTTTAATATCTTCATTGATAGTCAATGAATTGACTAACTATAAATGTGCCTAATACACAAAATAATAATGTATAAATTTATATATATCTAAAGTAATAAAATATTTTTAGCAGTGGAGAATTCAGAATAGAGTGTCGGGGGCGAGCTGCTCCCTAAACCTTTCAACTGTCGCCCCACTAAAATATATGTTACCCATAACAAAATTCTGCGTTTATTTAAATAGAAAACTAGGTCACAATAAACCATTGGTCACATATCTGCAAGAAAACGAAGACGTTTTGTTTGAAGAAAATATCTCTTATAATTATAATGTACACAGTCAATCAATTTTTAACATAGTTTGTTGTATAAAAACTATTATGACTGTACAGTAGGCTGAAGTAAAAATATTCCCCCTGACAATGAACAAGACTGAAATAAAGCATTTTGCGTGATTTATAATCAAGAAAGGCCCTAGATTTATATAATACACTTATAGCAGAAGATATTTTAGCTTCAATGAGACTAATATGTTTTTTCCATGTTCTCATCAAATATTACTCCTAAAAACTTTGAATGATTTAATCGATTCATTTCATTTTTATTGATTGACAGTTTTGGCAACTTTAATGGAAGATTAGTTGATTGTCTTATTTTATGGAAGAGAGTATAACTTGTTTTTTCACGATTTAATGATAACTTATTAGCTATAAACCATTGGTTAAAGTTTTCTAGTTCAGTATTCATTGTTTCGAACAATAAGCTTTATTTATATCATATATATATATTAAAAATAATAAAGGTCCTAAAATTGATCCCTGTGGGACTTCGAAAACAATATCAAGAGCTCCTGACTTCTCCAAGACAACAAACTGTTTTCTATTAAAAAGATAACTCTTAACCCACTTGTATGTTAGGCCTTTAATGCCGTAATGCTTTAGCTTTGAAAGCAAAATTCCGTGATCAACAGTATCGAATGCCTTAGGGAGATTGATAAATACTCCCAGTACTTGTTCCCCTTTATCAAAGGACATAGATATTTTATTGGAAAGTTCAATAATAGCATGTTCAGTTGAGCAATATCTCTGAAATCCAAATTGATTTTTGCATAAAGGTGAATTTAATGTCATATAATCATAAATTCTATTAAAAATTACCCTTTCAAATATTTTTAAAAATACAGGGAGTAGTGATATAGGACGGTAGTTGCAAACAGAAGAATAATCACCATTTTTAAAAAATGGATGCATTTTGGCTGATTTTAATTTATCAGGAAACACACTATTTTCATATGAAAATGCTGTTAAATAAAATAATGGTTTACTTATACTATCCATGACATAGATAGCTACATTGATGACATAGATAGCTACATTACTGGTAATGTCGTCATATCCACATGACTTGTTACGCTTTAGTTCAAATAGCGCTTTGTTAAATTCGTGTTTATTTATTTTTTCATTAGATATGCTAGTCGCAGTTTTCTCTCCCAAGTATTCATCAAACACTTAGTTGACTGAACAATGTTAGATGCAAGAGAGGCGCCCACATTAATAAAATATATGTTAAATTCTTGACATATTTTTTTCACTTGTTATAGTTTTGTTGTTAATAATTACTTTTTTGGTAAGCAAGAGAGTTTCTTTTTCACTTTTTAAGGTGGTAGAGCACAAAAAAGACACTTTTTATGAAAGATTTAAAAAAAAGTTTTAAAAATATGCAGAAATGCTTTACTAAGAAAAATAAAATGTTTTTGCAAAAAAAAAATTTTGAAAAAGTTAACCAAAAATTCATAATGGCGCAAAAACAGTGTAAATTAAGACAAAATTCTTATGTTTTCAAAACACGTTATCTTGATTTTGACTTAAAAACCATGAATCAAACTTGGCAGATCTGTTGATGACCTTATTTTACTCCATTTAACAAATAGATTTTTAATTATTCCTTTTATATGTAAAAATATGACCTTTTTTTTAAGATAAGTTAAATTTTGTACAATTTACAAGCAGTTTAAAGAAGTTAAAACTAAAAAAAATGAGTTTTAAAAATAATTAAAAAAAATCTATCTGTCAAATGAATTCTAATGGTGTTGGGAATATGTCCTGAAAATTTCAGAACAAAAGCTTTATTCAATTAGAAAAAATCATGTTTTGAAATTTCGATAAAATATGAAAAACTCAACTTGCAGAAAAAACAAAAATAAGTACAAAATAAAGAAAAAATCACATTTAAACAGTAAAATCATGTTAAAATCCTCCTGAAACATATGAGTCTTGAGGTTCCTTTGCTTTAAGATTCTTACTGAATCTTTTTTTTATTGCTCTCAGTTTTTTTCTCTGTTTTTTTGCCATAATAGTAGTCTTACGTTTCATCTGTTTTACTCTTACATTATCTGCTAAACTTGTTGTCAATTGTGTAACATTTCCTTGTATATTAAAATGCTGTAATACTTTAAATACACCACTTCTACCATCATTGAAATGTAAAATGGCAGAGTTTACACCCATTTCCACAACATCTTTACTAACAAATGTGGTTTTGGGTACCTTGGACCATATGAGTGAGTTGAGCGCTTCATTTGAATTTTGTGTTTGACCATGCAAACATTTCAACAGCAAGTCATCTTTCTGTAAGTCTATAAAAATGGGTGTAATGAGATTTTTGATGAATAGAGGAATAGATATATTTGGTTTGTAACTTTTACTTAGAGTCCAATATTTGCACCAAGATGAATCATTTCGTGGACAAAATTGATGTCGTTCAGGATTTGGAATATCTGTAAAATGAAAAACTATTGCATAAACAGCTTTCTTCATTGCATACAGATTATCAAGGTTATTTCTAATGGCGCAACCAAAGTAATTTTGCATTGAGTTAATGCAACTTTCAGTAAGCTTCCCTATTCCTGAGAGAGGTGTTTTGACAATGTTTTTTCTTGACAATGTTACGCAATCGAGTACCTAATCGTTTTTGGACATGAGCAATGCACTCCAACTTTATTGGCATTATATCATATTCACTATATGGGTTGGCTTTTACTACATCCATAAAAGAACTTGTATCACCATCTCCTAAGTATTCCTTATAAATAAGAGTGTTCTTTAAAAGAGAACGCTTAAATATGTCAACTGCTCCAGCTGATTCCATTGCACCTGATGACCCATTATGGTTAATTTGGCAGTAATGGTTAACTTTCCAATGATTATATTCAGCTGTATTTTCTTTTCCTATCCACATTCTGCAACCATAACAATGTCTTGATTTTATTTCTATATCAACACATTTGTCTGCTGCTATAGCAGTGATCACCCCATACAAAGATGAATGACCACGCTTTTGCCATGATCCATCAATTGATATCCGAACACATGGAATACCTTTGACAGTTTCAATTTGAGGAGCTTCCTTTGCTGCTGTTTGCATGCTATCTGTGGCAGCATTCTTATAAGCTTTCATAACTTTTTTGTTGATACGACAAAATCCATTTTTTGACAAACATTTAAAGTTCATCAAAGATGCAAACGTACTTATTGATGAAAAACCACAGCCAATTTCACGGAAAGCTATTACAGAACGTACATTTACCTCGTATGTATTTCGACCTTTAGTTTCCTCTTTCTTCTTTATCTCTAGGGAAGTATTAATTCTTTTATTCCATAAACAATTATTACAGTTTATTGTTAGAACATGAGAGAATCCTTGTCGTTTTAAAATATTATCTTTTACAACAATGTTACAAAAACATTCTGGACATACAAGAGTTTGC